CAGCCTATCACGTCGGCCTCTCCGCGTGACGTCTTGTTTTGGTGACACTTCCATTAGCTCGCCACCTGCGTGACGTCACAGCAGCAGGTTGGTAGTGAGGGGTGGGTTGCCAGGGCGGAGGGAACAAAGAGCGGCAGACAGAAGTGAGAAGTATCACTCCGCCCCAGCGTTAAAGTCTGTTTGTACCTGCGCAGGTGCGCCCAGAGCGGGTCTGCCTGATGCGGGCACAGAGTGGATTTAGACTTTCATCTTCATGTGAAGTGTTTCCAAAAGTTTCCTCACAGAAACATAAAAACATCCGAGGACCTGTCACAGCCAACGATCCTCCTCATCTTTGGGCTTAAAGAGCTTTTTCTCTGTTTATGGATATTTTAAGTTTCTATTTTCACTTATTTTGCATCTGATTTTTCACCGTTTTCATCTCATTGTTTGTATCATTTTGCACGTCTCTGGTTGTTTGCTTCTGCTATTTGTGGTCATTTTTCGTCTGGAGCTTTACTGCTGTGATCACTCAGTGTCTGATGTCAGTTGTTTTTGACGTGTCCTTGTCATAAATTCTATTTTTGTCTATTTTCAATCACTCTGGTCTCTTTGTGATCATTTTGCAGAAACCTTTTGTTCTTTACAGTTGTTTGCGTTTTGTGTGTTCAGCTTGGTCTGTTTTGTTTCTCTTTGTTTTTTTTTTTGTTCCCACCATTCGTTTTTTTTTTTTTTCCGTTGGAGTTTTTTGGGGTTGCTTGGTTGTTGCTTTTGTTGGCGTTGGGGGGATTTGCGGTTTTTGGCCTTTCGGGTTTGGTTGGAGATTTCCGCGGAGTGATCCTTCTTCCTCCATCAGGATCTCCACAGCCTTCACTCCGCCGACACGTCGATCGGGATTCTCTGCCTGGAAACATCGCAAACTAATCGGAACCGGCGGCCGACACAGACGGAGCGGTCTCGCGGGCTTCGTGGGGGTCGATTAGGTGGGCTAAAATTAATCTGTGCTCCCCGAGCAGCTGTCGGAGCTCCTGTCCTCTCTGCAGGCGGAGCGATCAGATGTAAACATGTTTTCAGGCTGGAGCGGACCCACACGTGTCACCAACACGGAGTTAGAAAGCCTGAAACACGCGTGATCCCCTCATAATGGGTGACACACGTTAAACAGTCAGGACATGTTTGGTGTTTGTAATGAGGAGCAGGCCGTGGAGGTCTGATGAGGCGCAGCTACACAGACACAAACAAACACGCTTCTGGTTCCGGGGTTGTCCTCTTAGACTCCGCCCACATCTGCTCAGGTGTTCCTGCAGAAGGAAAACATGAACCTGCAGCAGCTTGGGCGTGGTCTTTGAGTTCGCGCGCCTTTAGTTTTCATGCATCTTTTCAGTCATCAGTCTGTTTTTGTTGTTTTGCGTGTATTTTAAGTCTCTTTGTAGTCATTCAAGTCTATTTTTAGACATTTTGAGTGTCTTTGTTGTCGGTTTGTGTCTGTTTGTGCAGAATTTGCACCAGTTTTTAATTGTTCTGTGTCCCTGACGTCATTTGTACCAGTTTTTAGTCATTTTGAGGCTCTTTGTGGCTGTTTTGTATGCAGTTTAAGTTGTTTTTGTATCTCTTTATACTGATTTAAAGCCTCTGTTGTTGTTTTTTTCAGCTCATTTTCAGTTCTTGAGTCATCATTTTTGTTTTTTCTTAGTCATTTGTTTCTGCCTCCCACAGACGGCTTCCTTTGAGATAACTGGCAGGCTGACAGTTCAAGTCTGACCCACAGCCAGCATGTGTGATTTAATCTGATAATGTACAACATTAAGCGCTTTATTAATCATAAACCTTTACTGCAGTATTTCCAGTAGACATCAGAGACTTCTGGTCTTGTTTTTTACAGAAAAGGCTGATGTGGGATTTTTAACCTGCGTATCGTATATCAGCGAATGAAGAAGCTGCAAACATTCAGCACATTTACAGTAAAAATATTAAAGTCGTGGCTCTATTACGCATGAAGCAGAGTCTAATGTCTGTCAGCTAACGCCACACAGTCCTGAATCGGTGACACCCGTTCATTAGAGCAGAGAGAGAATAAAACTGAGGCAAACTCAGTCTGGCTTTAATCGAATCAGTAATGCAGATAGGCTGTAATTAATCTGCTGCTGAGAGATTATTTATCTTAATTATTTCCTAGTGGGTGGACCCCATTCGTGCCAAGTGTCTTTCATTAGCGAGAACTGAAGTCAGCGTGGTTTGTGTTCGAGTATAACAGCATTCACTTTGTCACTTTGTGTTCATTTTTAGTTGTTTTGTAGAAATTTTGAGTCTTTTTGCATTTCGTCAGTCATTTTCAGTCTCTTTGTGGTCTTTTTGCACCTGTTTTGTGTCATTTTTTTCTTTTTTAAGTTGTTTTACAGAAAATCTTTTCTGCATTTTGAGTCTCTTTTTGTCATTTTATGTCTCCTAGATGTCACTTTGTCGTCTTTGATGTTAGTTTCTGTCCATTTTGTGCCTCATTGTGATCATTTTTGTGTCTGTTTTCAGTCAGCTTGCCTCTTTGTGTTCATTTAAAATCATTTTGCATTCACTGTTGGTCTCTGTGGAGTTGTCAGATCGGAGGTACCTGCCACAGCGTTATGCTGCTGCAGCCAGCAGCTGCTTTCTGTGGGTCACATGTAGTTTTGTGTTCAGATGGGAGCCCTCAGGCTTTGGAAAAGCCGAATCAGTTTGTCGTGAGCTGAAGAGGGCAGCGGCAGAGATAAGGAGGCGCACAAGTCAAAACAAAACAATATCTGAGAGGAGGGAGCTATTTTTAGCTCGGCTTTCTCTCCGGCTGTGATCCGTGCTGCACAGAGAGTCGAGGAGGGAAGCGAGGCGACCGCTCTGAATGCTGATCGAGACGCTCTGAAGTTCAGCAATGAAACACACGACGCTGTGATGAGTTCGTTCGGTGCTCGTTTGTTCCGTTTTAACGGGACTGCTTTCTGACATGACTCATTTCTAACCCATTAATGAGAAGAACTTTGGGGGTTGCCAGATTATTTAAAAGGCTCATCTTGGATCGTCAGGTCAGCTCTGTGAATAAAGTCAGTAAACAGAGCAGATTTATGAATATCTTTATTTATCCAGGAACAACTATCATGATCCTTTTTTTGAGTGCTGTGTGGTTCACTTAAAAACTCCTCTGTAGCAAGTGATGAAACAAGTTCAACATGCATTTTTCTAAAAGCCACCAGGGGGCGACACCTCTCACCCAGTGCGATAGAAATCAGTGAGAAAACGAGTTCACCTGCTCCGTGACCTCGGTAAACACTTTCCTCCTGAGTTTCAGATCTTTAAATCTCTCTTCTTCCTTGAGCTTTCACCGAGCATTTTTTGTGGTATAGTCTATAAAAATGGAACGAGGCCGCCCCACCATCACCTGTTGGTTCGTGGCGTCCTAATATGAAGACTCAGGTTGAGCATTTTCCACTTTGTGTTTCGAAGCCGCTTCCTCACTGACCAACAACATATCCCCAAAACAT